CAGCAGAGTTGCCGGTTCCAGATGAGCGTCCAAGTCGGCTTGTTTGGCCTTCTCGGAGATGCTGTTGACCCGAGCCTCCCGCTCGTTGAGCTTCTCCATGGCCTTCATGTAGCAGGCTCTGGCCATATGCGGGTCCGTACGTGCCACTCCCACTCCAGTGTCGGTGGGGAATTTGATGCATGAGTGCCGTACGGAGCATATGGCCCCCAAGTCTTCCAGGCCGGGTCGGCCCAAAATGGCGTTGTGGGCGCACTTCAGGCGGACCACGACGAACGTCATCCCGATCCGGGCGGTGTGAGGGCCGTCGCCGATCTCTACTGGCAAGTTGATGGTGCCCTCAGCGTCAATGCAATCCCTGGTGAAGCCGGACAGCGGGGTGCGCAGAGGGTGCAGCATGTCCTTCCTGAGCTTCATTCCCTCGAAAGCCTCCCAGTAGAGGACGTTCACACTGCTCCCGGTATCCACAAGGACGCGGCGGACGATGGCATCGTTCACGTCCATGCTGATCACCAGCTCGTCTCTGTGCGGCGCTGGTGACATTGGCATATCGGCGGGACCGAAGGTGATTGCCTCGATTTTGTTGCGCTTGGTGGGGGGTGCTGATACGGAACCCACATAGAGTGATCTCTCAAATTTTTTCCGCTCGGCGGGTGTATCCCCTGTCTCAGCGCCCCCGAAGATCACCTTGATCTCCAACTTCTTCTTTTTGCCCTTCGGGCCAAGGGATCCCTCCGGACGTTTATCTGCACTCCGATAATCCACGTCCTGAGGTTCTGCTTCGCGCCGGTCATCGCGGCGCCATGTCCTGTGCCTTGGGTTCGGCTTCTGCTGGCTGTTTTTGTTCAGCAGCTGGGTGAATTCGCCCAAGTACCCCTGGCGGATCAGCTTGTCGATTGCTTTCCTCAATTGGCTGCAATTGTCCGTCAGGTGGTCGGCCCTCTGATGGTATTCACAGTAGACCGATTGGTCAAGCCCCATATGCTTCTGTCCTTGATGGCCTCGAAGATTTGGCTCACTGGATAGGCCAAAGGGATATAGCGGTCGTTCGGCCGCGTTTGACTGTCTCCGGACGGAGCCTTCCAAGGGACCATTGCTCCGTCCACCTTCTTCTTTTTGTTTGGGGGGGAGGGCCCGGGTCCTGGTCTGGGTCCGAGCCTGTCCGCCATCTTCCGTGGCTGGGCCGCGGAAACTCCGTCCCGCTGCCTGATCTCCTCCTCAATGGAGGCATACTTCTGGGCCCGAGCCAGAACCTTGGTGTAGCTGGTGCCGGGATTCCTCCTTAGGTCCCGGTATAGATCCCCTGTGGCCAGCGCACTGGTGAACATGTTGGTGGCCAGACGTTCGTCCAGATCGTCGACCTGCAGGACCTCGTCCCTCCACCTTACCAGGAACCTAGCCAGCGGTTCGTCCCGCCCTTGTTTGATGTGGGCGAGAGCCGTGACGTCCTTCCTGGGGGTGGTACTGGCAGCAAACTGCGCCATGAACTGCCGGGAGAGCTGTTCATATGAGTCGATGGTGCCCGGCCTCAACTGGCCGAACCATTCTTGCGCCGGCCCCCTGAGGGTGCTGAAGAACAATCTGCAGATGGCCTCGTCTGATGCTCCCAGCATGGACAGGTTCCCTTGGTAGCTTATCAGATGGGCCTTAGGATCGCCAGCCCCATTATACACCAAGTTACCCGGGGGCCTGCAGTCCCGGGGAATCTCGACGCTCATCACCCGTGGAGTAAAGGGTGATGTGAGAGAGAAAGAGGGTGTGGCCGAGCCGACGTCCGTCCGTCTATTCATCTCGGCTATCTGCCTTTCCATTGCTTCCAGCCTTGCATCCTGTGCGGTCCTTCCGGGGGACACAGGGGGCGCGGCTTCGGGGACGGCCTTCTGCTGAGCGGCCGCAGCATCGTGCGGCCGCCTAAAGATCTGCGCACCTCGCCGTTGGAAACGTCGTCCAACGGTGTTGATCCTTGGGGTTTCGTCTCCCCGCGGGACTTGGCGGGGGACCGATGGCGTGTGAGCCCTGGATGCAGCAATGCTGGCCCTGGTTCGCCCTCCCGTTCCGCGGGAGCCTGAACCTCCGCCTAGCCGCTCATGGACTGAGGGCCGGTGGTCGCTGGATCCCGTCGTATCGTCATACGACTGCATGCGGCGAATGGGAGAGAGGGGCGTTCGCTGGGTGCTTGCTGAGTACACCTGCTCTCGGGCCTCCCGTTCGTCTGCCAAACGACGCATGGTGTCAGCGAGTTCCCGCATGAGGCGGGGATCCTGCCTGGCCTCAAAGGGAATGAGGTCAGTGATACCCCCGTTTCCCCCGGAGGTCCATATTGTTGCGGACAGTTCCGAGTTCTGGCCGCGATTCCGGCGGCTTGACTCCAGACGTTCGGAGAGATCACGCTTGTCGTTGCTTCCTGACATCGTGTTTGCTGTAGGTAGATTTAGTAGCTGTTTGGGAGAGTTTCTGGAAACTTTTTGCTCAGTTTCCCACAGACGGCGCCAGTGTTGAGGTTAATTCCTTCAACCCTTGGACCCAACACGTAAGCCCAAAGATTTCGAGTGGAGTGAGTGTATGGATATCTAGCCCAACAACTTTCGGATGGATCAGGAAACAAGAGAAATAGCAGGCAATGTAAATAGGTATTATTAACTTCGTAATAACTCCCCTAAGTACAACCTACTTGCTAAAAAAGGCACGTCGGCCGTTCGTCTTACAAGGCAGTAGAAATGCTGCGAGTAAGAATACAATAGCTAGAATGCTAAGAATAGAAAGTTGCCAACCCTTTACAATGAAATAAATGCTTCTATTTATACCCACCAATGGGCAGGTGGCTGTGCTGACGTGGCAGCCTGTGGACCGCTGGTGCCCCAACTACCAAATCTTCAGCATTAAATGCACTTCCCGCCAGAATCTAGGCTTCCCGCCTAATCAGTGGGGACGTTCGTCCACCCGGGAAGTGAGTTGGATCCCCCCAAGTGACCCTCAGGAGATACCGGCTGTTCGTCTCCTGGCCTTGATAGATACTCACCATGTGGACTGGGCCTCCTCCGATGACTATAGGCTTGTCATGGGGACGTTCGTCGTCATCCCTGGTGGCCCGCGGCCCTGCTCCTTATCCCTACATTGACGTTCGTTGGGAGGAGCCGCTGGGCCTGAACCCCCAACCCCAGACGTTCGTCCATCCTCAAGGAACATGGGCCTGTGGGCCGGCCTGGTGTTCTAACTGGACGTCCGTCTGGCAAAATGGGTTAGTGGGCCGGACCTTGGCTTGGGCCCTTAACCCAACATGTCTCATATCATATTTAATAACATTTGTGTGGCTCTAATTCATTCATACTTTATTTCCACTTTATCAACTCAAATCAACCACACAATTCTACTTTTCTTAAAAACCACACTACTTCTTTCCGCTGAGGACCACAGATCATTATATGTCCTCTGTTGGACAAAGGCCACTGAGGCCGAGCGTCTTCAAGGATTCTACGAGCGTCTGATCGGCACCTTGCCAGATCATACCCAACTTGGGCCTTGTTGGTTTCCTTGCTAAGGAGGTAATGAGCCGATCTGCTATCAGGCGCATTAACCCAACACTTTCTTTTGGTTTTCATTTGTTTTTGGTGGGTCCTTCTCTTTTCTTTTCTTTTTTAGTACTTTTCCTTTTTTATCTTTTCATTCTTTGAGTACTATTCATTTGATGAGTTTAAAGTAGCAAGAGTTACAAAACATTACCCTCTGTGTCCTTTAGAACTTTGTCAACTTTCTCTTTTTGGTTGTTCCATTAACTTTGTCACTTTCCCTTTTAAGTAAAGAGTTGTGGTTCAGTTAATTTTCTCTTCTTTGCACATACATCTACCACACAATTTTTACTTTATTAATATCGTGTCAGTCAACAGCGAATGGAGTACAATCTAAGTACGCAATGTTTCACAAATCACATAGTCGCTTATAACCACATTTTTTCATAAATTCTTTATCACTAATATTTTAGCTAGGAAAAACCTCTTAACATTTAACTGCATGTCTCTGAAGTGCATGTCTCAGCCTTCAAAGAGGAAGTTCAAAAAAATGTAACAATTAATAAAATATGTTAATATTTCTTTGAGACAAATCTATCAATACTTTTTTCAAAAAAATATGTTAATACATTAATAAATTAAATGTAGTCAAAATCATGTAAATAGTATAAAATTCAACATGTTGCAATTATTTAAGAACGGAGGAAGTACTTGATATTTCATGGCGGTATTTACGTCACACTTAATATTTCATGAGGTATTTGAATTACAATTTGCCCTCAAATTTTTGAAATTTCATGTTGTTTAAGACAAACAACCTTGAGGGATTGTAGGCAACTTAGGGGGTAGTTTGGAACTGATTCTGCTTCTGTTTCTTTTTTAAAGCAGAAGCAGAATCAGAATCAGTTTTCAGAAGCTGGTCACCCCCAGATTCTAAAAAACCGATTCTAGGAGTAAATTTGAGTATCAGAATCACTTCTCTACTTTCATCCAAACACTCCAGCTTCTGCTTCTACTCCCTGAAGGAGCAGAAACAGTTTTAAGAATCAGATCTAAACACCGCCTTAAAATTTTGATATTTTATGTCAACTAGTTCAACATCCATAATATGGAATAATAAATGGATGGCCCCCCATCCATGAGGGCCCCTCAACACCGATCTGACGGCATGATAGGATGATGTATTTGCAGAAGCCCTATGCATTTTTTTAGATAGATCAGAGAGTGAGACTCTGTTCCCGGTACTTACGGAAGCCCTATGCATTTTTCAGCATAGTAACCCCTCATCACAGTTGCCGGGATTCGAATTCGAGACGGCACTCCCTCTCTACATACTCCCTCCGTCCCGTTGGGATGTTCCCGTTTTCCTTTTTTTAGATGTCCCAAAAAGAAGTTCTTCTTTCCCTAAATGGAAAGTTATCCTTTATCAAAACAGTGTCAAACAGTGCAAAACAGTGTCAAATAGTGTCGAAACAGTGTCAAAACAGTAAAATTTACCATCTGATAAGTTTATTTTCTTAATATGTGTGTAGATCAAACCGGGAACATCCCAACGGGACGGAGGGAGTAATATGGAATAATAAAGAACATACATACTCGGCTCGCTACAGTCCTGAATACAGTAGTTGTCAGTTTGGATACTTTAATTTACTCCTTATTACTGAACAGCAAATTAAAGACGAAACTGAACTTTACTAGAAGCCATCATGCTGTCTCCTTACGAATTGAACTAGTCCGAAGAAAATAAAGTTGTTTAAGAAGCTATCAGCTACCTAGATAGCTAACATATCATGCAGGATTTTTGAACCTAGCTTAATTAATTACTCCCAAATTAGCAATAATGAAACACACTTAATGCAGGGTCCTGCTGGTACTGGTAAAGCATGTCCCCCAACATTGTCTCCGGCGACACCTGAAAGTTCGCCGGGAAGTCATTATGGAACTGAAACGACACCGGCTGCTGCGGCGAATCATCCAACCCACCACCGGAACACCCAAATTGCCCTTGAAATACTCCGAACTTGCTGTTAGGTTTCTCGTCGCCGCCGAAAGAACCGCCGGCCGGTGATGGGTCATATTTTGCCGGCGTGGGTTTTGGGAAGAACCCGTTCAGCACCTCCTCGAGCAAGCCGGAATCCGAGGGCTCTGCCGGAAAGAAGTCCATTCCTGTCCATTCCATGTTAAAGCTGGCATCTTTTACCGGCTCTCGGTTAAACGGATGGCCCATTGTTTCGCCGGCGGTGGTTTGGTAGCAGTTGATGCTCGGAGTTGTCGCCGTCGATGATGAGCTGAGATAATCGTTTCCGAGAAGAGAGTTCAGAGATTTGCTCACCATCTTCCTCGTCGATGAAAGGTTATTGTATGCAGCGTTTGATGAGAAAGTTGACTGAAAGAACTGCTTGGTCGGCAAATCCTTGAGAGAAATCTGCTGGGTCTTGCTGCGGCCGGAGCAGAGAGGAAGGCTGAACCCGTCGGCGCAACCGGCGGGGAGCGGCGGCGGGTAAACAAAGTTGGTCCTCGCCTTGGCCCCGCGCATGGCCCTGGCGGCGCAGTCATAAGCGCAGGCGGCTTCCTCGGCGGTGTCAAAAGTGCCCAGCCACCTCCTCTCCTTGGACAGCGGGTCCCTGATCTCAGCCGCGTAGCGTCCCCACGGGCGGCGGCGCACACCCCGGTACTTTATTTTGGGGGCTCCGGCGGAATCAGCGGCGGCGGCCCTGGTGGCAGCTCCGGATGCGGTTGTGGCGGAGAGGGTGAGGCCATCGCATCTCTTGGAAACACTAAAATTAGAGGAATCGACTAGACCATTGAATCTCCTCATTGTTTCTTCCATTTGGTCTTTTTTGCTATAAGGTTTTGGTTTGTTAAGGCTTTTTACGTGCACACAGATACTACTAGTAGAAGTCTAGAAACGAGGAAATTGAAGAACAAATTAACGTTGTGTTTTGGAATGGAATATTTTGGGAGAGTGAGAGATGAGTATAGGTGTATTTATAGTGAAAATAGTTCATGTGAGAGTGAGGTAATAGCTAGGTATGTGTGTTCATTTGCACGGGTGGAGGGAAAGGTGATGTGTTAGGGTTGGTCGGTTAGTCCGTCATCACTTGCTGTTGCACTGCAACTATTATTCATAGGGTTCATCCAATGCAAAGAATGCTAGTGATGATGCAGAAATTGCGGGCATATGATTTGGTAAAATTACATACGGAGTATATAGCTTATGTTCGGTCACTTACTTATTTTAAAATTAAGCATGAAAATCTTTACAGATCTGATAGTTACTGTACTTACTTAAAAGGTACTGTGGGATTATATAGGCTAGTAAGTGCAATGAAAAAAAGTAAATAATACTATTGTATTTAGTATTGTTTGCACTCTAAAAATTACTACCTGCTTAACACAATTGTATGATGATGAAAAAAAAACACTTGTATGATGATAAATAGTTCAAGATTATAAATAGCGAATTTTCTTTTATCAAGTTTAAACAACACTAAAGAATATTATTTAAAAAAGAATAAAAAAATTAATAGTGTGTTTAAAATTTTGCAACAAGACTAAAATTAGTCTGTTGGTTTGAAGTGCTTCTTTACAAAAGAAAATCATTGCACTTCTGCCAAAATTAATCTTCATGTCATTCATTTTGGGAAATTATTTTATAGTTTTTATTTATGTATTTTTTTAGATTTAATAATGTTATTATTTTACGTTTAATTAAGTATATTGTGTTTCATCATGACGACATTGATTATTGCTCTTTGTTACTGCACTACTCGTCATAATCACTGCACAACAAACTTTCTTAATGCATTCATTCACTGTCATGTGCAACATATATACTGCAATACTCACTACCATAATCAATACTTATTATCATATTCACTGCCAATATTGAATGTTCGTGTTTAATGCTCACAAACCCTAAATTCACTCACCATACTCAAAAATATTTATTATCGTTCACTGCCCATATTTAATGCCACAGACGCTAATTTTAGAAACTATAATTTCAAAACTAGAAAAGCAAGGATAAGAATGATGAAGGGCCAAAGCTAATAGCAGATCCAGAACAACACCTTCTCCGCGTCCAACAAATAGCTCCAATTTTGGATCGGCAGTAATCGTACATGCGAAATATCTGCTTAATTCACACCTTTAATTTAAACTGGTCACGTACAAATGTACTATATTGTGTGGAGCGGCACATATATATATATATATATATGGTGAACATAATACAACATGCCCAAAGTGCAATCATTTAAATTGGAAACCTCAATCAAGTGTTCTTATTGATTCGGAACACCAATTCGGCAACACTCCAGGATGTTGGCGGACGTGCTCCAGGGCGTGTGGCGAATGTGCTCCAGGACGGCGGGCCATGGGGCGTGCGGTGGCAGGGGGTGTGCGGCAGCAGAGGGCTTGTGGCGGTATGGGCTTTTGGCGGCAGCGGGTGGGTCTAGACGTGGGAGAATGGAGGCTAGGGTCGGAGAAAAGAGTGTGAGCTTAGGATTACGTTTAATAAATATAACCTAAAGGGTATATTTGTCTACCTAAATTATTTATCTATTACGAATTTTACTATTATTTTAGCGAAAAAACTAGTTAGATCATAAATTGGGAAACTGAAATTATGAATTGATAATAGGTAAAATAAAAGCAATCGCTTACATACGGAGCGAGAGACTCTTCTCTCTACATCTTCGTTTCTCCCTAGGGCTCGGCCGCTAGGGTTGGCACTTCCAATCTCAGTATCCCACCAAGGATCGAGAATAGGTAGCAGTGACGCAGGGGGGAAGACTCAGGCAAAGCGAAAGCTTTCACATTAGGGCTTGGTTCGAGAAGTAGGTCGCGGTAGCCGATTTGTCCAAGGAAGGTTACTGCATGGTGGACACTGTCAATTCGTATAAGAAGATGTCAATGGAGGATCAGGAAAGCGAGCTTAATTTTGATGAGGAGGCAGACGAGGAGGAGATGGAACCGGCGGGCTTTCCGGTGGTTGGGGTTGTCATCACCGACTGTAAGATCAAGTTACCGGGGTTCTTAGAGCTGATGACTTCAATCTGGAAACCAGGGAAAGGTATGTCTATCAAAGAGATCAGCGAGCGAAGGTATTTGCTAAACTTTAATCATGTTTTGGATATGAACCGTGTGATTGAGGATGGCCCCCGGCTTTTTTAGCGTGATTTAATTCTGTTGAAAGTGGTTCAACCAGATGATATACTTGAATCGATGAATTTATTTGAGGCTAGTTTTTGGGTACAGGTTCATAATGCCCCTAAAAAATATCGAAATTTGAGATCTGCCAGGAAAATTTGTAATTTTTTAGGCTCTTTCATTAAGTTTGAGATGAGCCAGTTTGATGGAAAGCAGAGTTCTTACTTGCGTATATGGGTGTGTCTGGATGTGCGTCAACCTTTGAAGAAAGGTACCAATTTGACACAAGATGGGGTGAAGCATTGGGTGGATTTTAAATACGAAAAGCTCCTTAGCTTTTGTTTTATCTATGGTATAATTGGGCATTCTGATAAATTCTGTCCATTGAAGTATGAGGAGGGCTTCGTAGCTGAAAAAACCTATGGAGTGGGACTTAGAGCAGGAGGAAGGGCGAAGACTAGCCCGACAAGAGACAACAAATGGTTATCTGATGAAGCTTCTAGCTCAGATGGATATGGAATGCAGCGGAAGGCTGATCTCGGGGGAGAGGTTTCGGCTGAGTCCAAGACTAGTAGGCCAGCACAGAACGGGAAAGAGGACAAGGATGAGAATCCTGGAGATACCAAGCGCAGAAGGATATGGGATAATCAGACCAAAGAGGACACAGCTGGTGAAGGAATGGCTTTGGATGGGCCAAAAAATGGGGAGGCGGCGGGCGGGTCAAGTCTCTTAGACCCGTCGTGCTTTCATATGCTGGTGTTCGGTGAAGAAATCAAGTGATGATGTTATTTTTATTGTCTGTTTTATTTACTTTTATTTGGGATGCTATGTTCTGGTTTCCTTTTGTGTTCTCAATTCTTGTAAGACTCTTGCATTAGGTTTGGGGGATGGAAAGTCTGCGATAACCGTCATTGGCTTTAAGTTGCTCAATTTTGGTCTAGCGAGTTATACTGCTTTTTTACAGGTGGTTAACTCTCAGTTTCGACCACGGGCGGATGGTTATATGTGGTGCTTTTTTGTTTTTGTACCCTTGTTGAATGCTATTTCTATGAATTAAGCCCCCTTCGAGCAAAAAAAAATGGGAAACTGAATAAGTTTTAGTCATTGATAATTAACTCATAAAAAGAAATCCCGATGAAGCATCTAATGCAAGATGCTGCTACTCAGCAGCGTGTAGTTATTTAGTTGGTTGCTTGAAGCAAATATTTGGAGGAGTTGTATATCAAACATTTAGTTTAACTGATAATCTAAAATTGGTCAAACAAGCTAATACAGGTTGATCAACCATTTACCAAACAAGTTCAAAGCAAGATTGAGTTACCCAATCACACATGATATGAGACAAACTTAGTAAGACGAACGAAAAGGTAAAGTGTTACAAAAATAGAGGATGAAGGTAGTATATAGGAAGTAATAAATAAGGAGTCCAAATACACAAGAGCTCCTACCACATATAGAATTCTAATTATTACTCCCATAAAATTCTTCATGGTTTGATTTAAGAAAGTGATAATAAAGTGAAAATGTATGTTTGAGATTGAGTAAGAATAAGATATATCAATTTTATTCACACAAAACTTTTTTAAATAAAGAAATGAGAAGAATTTATTGAAATATCCTAATATAGTACTCCCTCCGTCCCGCTAGAATTGAAGGTTCTCGTTGACGGTTTACGATGCTTGACTGACGATAAAGCAATTTAATCTCTGTTCACACTAATTATTTTTAGTAAATAAAATTTACATATTCATAAACTACATTAAAACCGCTACAAAACCTGATAAAAAATGCAAATTTGATAAAAATTTGATTTATAAAATAAAAGATTAAAAATGATTTAAGTTGACTATGTGAATAGTTGACGGGAACCTTCTAATGGAACGGGAGTAGTACTACGTAATAAAGTACTCATAAGTGATAAGTGATGAGAATTTTATGGGGGTATATTACGGAGTATTAGTTTACAATTTGTCCATGAAATAATGGGGAAGTCGACATCCACGACTCAAAGGGAGTTTTTGCAATGCAAAAACTAAAAAAAAAAAGTGTTTTTACCGGCTTTAAAAAAGCTGAAATTAGTTTTTTAAGTAACAACTTCTACTTAAATTAAGCACTTAAAAGTTAAAAGCTGGAAGCATGTTGAAAGGTGCATTAAACAATTTTTCATTTTTTCTATTACACAAAAAACGCTTATTTTATCAAACAGTACTAACTTTTATTTTTTCTCAAACATTAACAACTTTTACTATTAATCATTTTTTCCAAAAATCACTTTAAAATACGGAGTATCACTTTTATAAAATAGAAGCAACTACAAACACCGTCCAAATTTAGTATTTTACAACAATCAAGAGAGATGGCCTAACTAGGAAATGTAGAAGGCTAGAGAGACGCTATATCCTGAAAGATTAAGCTCAACTTTGATGACGAAATGAGGGAGCACCATTTGTTTTTATTTTTTGATGGACACCATTTAATTTTCTTAAAAAACGATATTAATTATTTTAGCAGTTTATATAAGTTGATTAGTGTGAACAGTAGTATTCATGAGCCGAAATGACAAAACATCCCGTATTTGCTTCCTCTGGAAATTTGACACAATTTATTGCTAATTTGCTATTATTAGCATGGGACTTTCGAAAAAAAATACGGAGTACTCCGTATATAAATTTGATAGTGGCAGTAATTGTCCTCGGGTATTTCCACGACATAAAGGACAAACGAAAAGATGCGATCGGAAAAAGAAGAGAAAGAAAGGAGCTTCTGCAAGACTGGAGATATGTCGTTTTTTTTTTTGTATACTGGTTGACTTTGATTGATATGCTGCTA